ATGCCCCGACCTCATGTACGCCTTGTAATAAGGAAAACGTAGGTTGGAGGAGAATTGTCAGGAACTTCACACCCTCGTAAGCAAACTTTCGAGAGGCAATGATGAACTAAAGTGTGTCTAACATAATGCAGATGGTTTGCGGTTACAATGGGAACGGGGATAGTCTCAGTTCTCCTTCACAACCTGCCTTACAACGCAACATGGATCTCACATGGTCTTGCCGGTGCCTTTTTCGTGCTCAACATCGCTCTGTTTACCGTGTTCACCGTCATCACAGTGCTGCGGTACGCATTGTACCCCGAGATTTGGAAGGCCATGGTTGTACACCCTGCCCAGTCCATGTTTCTTGGCTGTTTCCCTATGGGGTTTGCCAGTTAGTCGCGAAGATCTCCCCACACCACAGGATATACTAATCTCTGTGGCCAGCCATAATCAACATGATGATATTCGTGTGTGCACCTGCCTGGGGCCAGTGGGTGGTGAATTGGGCATGGGCATTTTGGTGGCTTGATGCCGCTCTGTCAATGGCAACATGCATCTCGGTGCCCTTCGTCATGTAAGTGACCTCACCACACAACGTTCAAATTCGAGACTGATCAACCATGTTCCGAAGGATTCATCAACACCGTCCGGGACTTCAGGCAGTAACAGCCGCAAGTCTTCTCCCAATCGTCCCAGTCGTAGTCGCATCTTCAACTGGCGGCATCGTCGCCGAGGCCCTCTCAAACCCATCTCACGCCTTCACAACCCTGATCGCATCCTACGTTCTCTGGGGTATTGGCATCTGCTTCTCGGGCATGGTCCTCGCGCTCTACTTCCACCGCCTGACGATCCACAGCCTCCCGCCCAAAGAGGCCATCGTCTCCGTGTTCTTGCCCATCGGACCCCTGGGCCAGGGCGGCTTCGGCATCCAGCAGCTCGGAAAGGTGTCCCTGAAGCTCTTCCCCCAGACTGCGGCTCTGACGGTGGCGGCTCCGGAGGCGGTGCACGGCGGAGAGATTCTCTACTTTATCGGACTCTTCCTGGCGCTCGTCATGTGGGGCTTCGCCCTCGTCTGGTTGTCGTTTGCTCTTATCAGCCTTGCTACAATGGAGAAGATTCCTTTCAACATGGGTTGGTGGGGGTTTACGTTCCCGCTGGGCGTGTTGGCGACCTGCACCGGCATGCTGGCCCGGGACTTGGACAGCCCCTTTTTCAGGGTCATGACCATGGTTTGTCTCCCTCTCGTGCCTATCGATGATTATCCGTCCGGTTTTGCTGATCTCTCCTGGCAGATCTTCTCGCTCTCTGTATGCTTCCTCTGGCTGCTGGTTGCGGTGAGAACACTTCATCAGGCTATTTCTGGGGAAATTTTCTTTGCGCCGTGCCTGAAGGATATCCGAGACAAGCAAGCGCAGGCAGGATCGGATAGAAGAGTTTGAACAACTGGTTCGACATGAAAAACTAAAATCAACAACGACTCAGTCTCATGCTGAGCAAATGGCTGCCTCCATGGGCACAACTGGGTCTATTTCCTGTACACCAGTCAAGCTCCCGTGCGGTCTCTTGACCAGTACATATTAGTGATTAATCTGGTGTGATATCCACCATCAGCCATGTAGGCATCTATTATGTATTCAGCAGCATTGAAATATGATTCAAGCGCAACACGTAGATTTCGGTTCGAGTTACAAGCCTAAATCGTTTAGAGAATTTGACTTCAACCTTATTTTTGCAAACAGCTTCTTGATAAAGGCGGGCTCCTGTCTTAGTCATGGTGTTCTCACCTTGAGATGCCCTCCAGCCGGCCGAGGTGCCGTTCAATGCCAATGGTCAGCAACTGGGGAACCCCAAAGACGCTAATGGCGGGGTCGATGAGGTGCAGGGCCAGGCCTAAATTTCTTTGGCGGGGCACCACTAAACACCCAGGTCAGCCACTGGGAAAGTTTGACACTTGAAATAATTATTGCAATTGCGCTCGCACCCACTGGTCAAAGCCCATTTCGCACACCCCGCCACTGCTCATGTGCAACTTGAAAGAAATCACAACCTCAAGGCGCGTTCCTCCAAAAAGTGACGAAACAATCCGCGCATAGCTCGTCTTCGAGCACCGCGCTCCGTCGCAGCACCAATGGCTTCCACTCTTCAGCCCGTAGGCTTCAAGGCCATGTTGAACGGTGAGTTGGCTCTTCTTGCCTTTGGTGCCTCCCGCCACCTCTGTTTCTCGTTCAACCGCTCATTCTGCTTTTCTTGCGCGTAGACGTCCACGATGTTTGGCAGCAAATTCGCATACCTGTGATCTTGTTCACGGCCTTTGGACTCTTGATTCTGCGCTTCTACCTCCATTCTATCGAAGAGAAGAGCGAATTGAAGGCCCTGCCCAAGGCCTACAATAGAGAGAAGCCCGAGACGAAGCCTGTGGAGGAGACGAAGAAGAAGGATGTCAAACCAAGCCCCCCGAGCCCTATTATCGAGTCGAAAGCGCCAAAGTCGAACGGACCTAAAAGGATAAAAGGCGGAATCGTCAAGCGAACTTCTTCTAACGACGCAAAGGGAGAGGCCCTGGTCCGCAAGGTCAGGCCTCTGGTCTTCTTTTCAAGCATCACCGCAAACACGCCCAAGATCGCAAAGGGGTATGCAGAGGGTCTGGAGAAGGAGCTGCAAAAGGTCGCTGCGGAGACCGACTGCTCGTTCATGGCTCCTGAGGTGCTGGATCTTGCCGAGGTCGACTTTGACGACTATTTCATCACCCCGCCCAAGTCGGAAGAGGACCCCGCGGATCTCTTTTACCTGTTCCTCCTGCCAAGCTACAACATCGACACCATCAACGACACCTTCTTGGAGCACCTTCAGGAGACCCACCACGACTTCCGTATCGACACCGCGCCGTTGTCCTCGCTGCTCGGATACTCCGTCTTTGGCTTTGGTGATAGGGAGGGCTGGCCGACGGAAGAGGATGGATTCTGTTTCCAGGCCAAGCAGGTCGATAAGTGGATGGCGAAGCTGACGGGCCGGAAGAGAGCCTTCCCTGTCGGAATGGGCGACACGAAGAGAGACTACACTGAACGCTTGTCTGAATGGTCCGAGGGCGTCGTCGATGTTCTCGGCATGCTGGCTAAGACTGGCAGCCTGGGAGAAGGACTCCCAGGAAGCGGTGCCCCTGAGGAAAGTGACGATGAGTCTGCAGCTGAAGACGACGACGAGGTGTTGATCGAGGACTCCGAAGTGAAGCCCGAGAAGCTCAAGAGCCGCAAGAACATTGATGACGTCGAAGACCTAGGGCGCATCATGAAGAGCTCCAACCCCGACGCAGCCACAAACGGCCGCGCAGCTAAATCGGCAACGGCAACGGCTGGAGCAGCGGCGCCTATAGCCGTGGACTTTACAACATACGGCAAGGCGGTCGCGAAGAAGACCCCTCTTAACGCCGCCAAGGAGATGGTCCCCAAGAACTCGCCCACGTACGCCTCGCTCACGAAGCAGGGCTACTCAATCGTCGGCTCGCACTCGGGCGTCAAGATCTGCCGTTGGACGAAATCAGCCCTCCGCGGCCGCGGCTCCTGCTACAAGTACTCCTTTTACGGCATCAACTCCCACCAGTGTATGGAGACGACCCCGTCGCTCTCGTGCTCCAACAAGTGCGTCTTCTGCTGGCGCCACGGCACCAACCCCGTCGGCACGACCTGGCGCTGGGTCGTCGACCCGCCCGAGCTCATCTTTGATGGCGTCAAGGCGAACCACTACAACAAGATCAAGATGCTCCGCGGCGTACCCGGTGTCCGCGCTGAGCGCTTCGCCGAGGCCATGCGCATCCGGCACTGCGCCCTCTCCCTCGTCGGCGAGCCCATCTTCTACCCTTACATCAACGAGTTCCTCGGTATGCTCCACGCCGAGCGCATCTCCTCCTTCTTGGTCTGCAATGCCCAGCACCCGGACCAGCTCGCCGCCCTAAAGGCTGTGACGCAGCTGTACGTCTCCATCGACGCGTCCAACAAGGAGTCCCTCCGAAAGATCGACCGCCCCCTGCACCGAGACTTTTGGGAGCGCTTCCAGCGGTGTCTCGACATCCTCAGAGAGAAGCGCTTCAAGCACCGCACCGTCTTCCGCCTGACCCTGGTCAAGGGCTTCAACGTCGACGACGAGGTCGAGGGCTACGCGCAGCTTGTGGAGAAGGGCCTCCCTTGCTTCGTCGAGATCAAGGGCGTCACCTATTGCGGCACCTCGACAGCGTCCAACGCCGGCCTGAGCATGTCCAACGTCCCCTTTTACTGGGAAGTCCAAGAGTTCGTCACGGCGCTGGAGAAGAGGCTCAACGAAAAGGGGCTCAAGTACGGCATCGCCGCAGAGCACGCCCACAGCTGCTGCGTCCTGCTCGCGAGCGATCGGTTCTACAAAGATGGCAAGTGGCACCCGCGCATCGACTACCAGCGCTTCTTTGAGCTGCTAGAGGAGCGGGGCGCCGACGGAGACTGGAAGCCCGAGGATTACATGGGCGAGGCGACGCCCGAGTGGGCTACCTGGGGCAAAGGCGGTTTCGACCCCAGAGATGACAGAGTCGACAGGAAGGGCAGGAAAATCGAGGCCTAGGTTATTCGGTAGAGGAGTACATCAAACGGAAAATCAAAAAGGCGCCGGCTGCATGCTCTCAAGAGACCAGATACACACGCATTATGCAATTGTGGAATTTCGTGAATCTTCTTCATCTTCTTGCCTATTTGTCCCTGCCGGGATCGTCAATATACACTTGGTTTCTTTCCTCTTACAAAAACCTTCTATCAAAACAGCCCCAGCCGGCCAGGTATTGTACAGTGAAAAGTCGTAATTCCTCCTTCCTCTTCTCGCGAATGCCGGGGGATTACGTATGGGGTGGTGGATTCGCAGCATCACGCCATTGGTGGAGTGACTGCGGATTCTTTGGAGGCGAGCGCGCGCCGGAATGTGTGTGTCCAGGTTTTGGGGGATGTGAGAGAGTGGAGGGGAACTCGTTATGGTGAGAGCTACATCGTCAAAACGAAGATCTTTTAGTCCAGGCCGACGGTGGGCATGCCGCCGAGGTCAACGTTGACGCCACCCTGGTACTGGCCAATGTTGAGAGAGGAGTCGTAGGCGATCATCTCGGCGAGAACGTCAAGGACGGGCTAGATATAAGATCAGTTTCGGATCAAATGCTGTAGCAATTTTCCGGGGATCCAAGGAGGTCTCTTACCTTGGGAACGGTCTTGTCGTAGATGCCGATCAGGTCACCAGGCGTAGGGTAGACCTTGAGGCCCTTGTAGAACGCAAGCGCGGCTTCAACAGCGCGCGTGGCTGTAACATCAACAGTTGTCAGTAAGCTGAGCCATCTCGCCTCATTCCGGGTAATTCTTCTCGCATAGGGGTTGGACTAACGGTCGGCGGACAGCGTCTCTCCCTCGGAAACCTGCTGGAGGAAGTATGCCTCCTTCTGCTCGACGTCGGTAGGGAAGCCCTCTTCCTTGGCCTCATCGACGGCCTCCTTGATGGCTTGCCTTTGTCGGACGGTCTCCTGCTGGGCCGACTCCTTCTCAGCCTTGTGCTGACGGCGCTCGTTTCGACGCAGTTCTCTCCGGAACTCAGCCTTGTTGCGTCGCTGGTAGTCGAAGAAGGCGGCGTACGCTTTGATGACGAACGTTAGCAAACGCGGCTCCAATTAAACTGGTCCCTCGGTCCTATTGTGGAATTGGCAAAGGGAGAATTGTGATATCGGGGTGCGTCGAGGTGTCGAGGCAGACTCACCAACCAAGCCGGTAACGGCGGCGGCGACTGATGCCGTCACTATCGTGGAAGTCTGGGACATCTTTTTTTCTGGAACTTGGGGAAAAGCGGACGGAAGGTTTGGCTTTCGGTCTACAGCAGTCGGAGCTGATAGCGACGATGAGAGCTGATGGGGTTTGTGCTCAGGTTCACAATGTTGCGCTTTGTGAGCTGGGAGATGGTTGAATGACCGGGGGGAGACAACGGGCGGAGGATTCGTTGTCGGAGTAAATATCGAAGGAAAGAAGCTCTATCGGGAATTGATGGAGCTTCCTCTACCAATTTTTTTAGCCTCTGCGCCATAGTTCCCAGGTCGCGTTCTCTTGCCAAGCAGCCGCTGGAGTGGGTCTCTGAGAGCACAGACCAGACATACTGATCAGATAGGTACGTACTGATTCGACAGCTCACTGAGGTAGGTAGGTGCACTGCTGCAGCACCCGCCAAGAGGCCGCTATTGCCCACTGGACGACGAGGTTAGGTGCCCGCCTTCCAGATTACGTAGAGGGATAAGTGCTGCGTGCCAGTACGACTTGGGACTCCACGTCCATCTTAATGTCGAACTGGCAGGGGTCTTGTCCTCTCAATGGCCACCACAGCACGGCAGCTTCCCACTCCGCGGGCGACAGACGGTGCATGAAACAACATCAATCCGACCTGATCTGCGACTTCACCAAAGGGGCTTTGTCCTCGCTCTTTCTACCCACATACATCTGTCTCTCTATGCACAATAAGTGCTACTAGATTCGTGCCCTTCAGCACGTAACACCAACTCAACCGCCTGCCATGTCGGAAGATCGGGAGCGCAGCAAGATCTCGCTCCGAAGTGGAAAGAGAAAGGGCCGCCCTCAGATTAGCGCACCTCGCCAGATCTCAGAGCCCATTCTACAGGATGGATCTGGCCCAGTACGGCCTCCCGGCTCAAGGCCGATGGCAGATGCAGGTCCTCCACCGGTCCAGCCTCGGCTTCGCCCGCCGCCGCAAGCTGGAGGCGGAAAGGTAAGCATCCCCAGCAAGGGCTAAATGAAGAGTCAAATTGAAGGTATTGGAGGCTGACGAGAGAATGTATAGACCTCGGACTTGGTCAAGCGACGATACTCGACGCGGTTTAACACCCTGCCGAACGACTTCGACGTGAATAACCCGCCGGTACCGTCTATGCCATCCCTCGACAAGTACGAGTCCCGCCAGCGAAGAGCAGCACAGCCCCCTCCCAGCCGTGGCGGCACAGCAACAGCGCCAATTGTCGATATAAAGGCATTGCGAGATCCCGGGTTGGTACCAGACCAATGTGAGTAACGGATCTCTTTGGTTCATAGCATGCAGCTAACGCAGTTCTAGATGTTGCGACATTGCTCAGCGAAGCGGACGAAGATCAGATCCGAGAATTTGAGGATAACCTACGCAATCTCAAGGGCCGGGCCAATGCAGACTTGCAGCAGAATGTCATGCAGAACCGTACCCAGTTCATCAAGATTAGCAAAGAGGCCGAGAAGCTCAAGGGCGAGATGCGAGCGTTGAAGAACCTGATGACGGACCTCAAAGTGAATACAACAGCACTTCGCCAGGCCTCAAACAACGGAAACAATGAGTCTTCAAGCCTTGGGGGCGAACTCTCGACAGGCCTGAGCAAGAGGGACAAGCGAAGCTCGGTCGCAGACCGAAGCGCCCTTTGGAACTCGCAGATGCAGGCACTATACAAGAATGTCGAGGGTTCCCAAAAGTTCCTGCCCAATTCTGCCCGGCGCCATGTCATCCAGAATGCAGGAGCTTGGATTGAGCTGGACAACGCCACATACAAGTCTCGACGAGCGATGCAGATATTCCTACTCAGCGACCATTTGCTTATTGCATCTCGCAAGAAGAGAAAAGCCGATGTTCCGCCTCGCGAAGCTCAAGGCCCCCTGGTGAAGCTGGTCGCAGATCGTTGCTGGCCGCTGCTTGATATTGAGGTTGTTGACATGGCCGGGCCCGGCGATGGCTCGACGACGAGAAACAAATTGGCAGATGCTGTCATGGTCAGAGGCGTCGGCCAGGAATCTGTCATCTACCGAACCGAAAAGCCAGAGGATACGGAGAAGAACAGTCTGCTTCTCAACATCCGCAAAGCAGTGGAAGAGTTGCGCAAAGAGCGACAGTCAGAACTGGAGGCCAACAACAAGGCCAAGGAGACGATTAACTACTTTGCGTCCCGTGACCCCGGCCTGCTGCAGAAGACTGAGCTTTTGGAAACACTGTCCGACATCAAGGACATGCTCATCGACGTTGATGGAAAGCAGCAAAATCTACGATGGGTCGAAAGCCAGATGGACGAGCTCGATATTGACATTGCCTTACAGAGCTTTGAGCCGGCAGTTGACCGCGTCGAGAAGCTGAAGAATCTCGCTCGAGGCCTGAAGAACAATGCGGTGGCGCAGGACTTCATCAGCTTCAAGGTCGAAGAAAGATGTGCCAAGTTGGCGGGCATGATCATTCGCGAGCTCGAGACGACACACACGGCGCCTACCAAGAACAAGCGTAACATTAGTTGGTTGGCCAGGCTTGGCTACGAAGACAGGGCTCGCGAGGCATATCTGGTCGCCAGACATGATATTATCACAAAGCGATCGAGGTAAGATTGGCGATGCTACGTATCCTTTTGGATTTGGCTAACCCCCTTTCAGACAATGCATCTTCCAGGGTGATTTGCACTTGTACATCTGGGAGCTTTCGTTTGTTTACTTCTCTCTGATCCGCAACACCGTGAGCTGCTTTCACTCATGTTTCCCTCCGCCGATGATGAGCGCCTGCGTCAAATGGGCCAAGGAAGAGGTGGAGACTTTCAACGGCATCCTCGCGCGACAGCTCAGTGGAACAGAGCGCGGCGGAAAGGTCTGGAACGAATGCATGGAGCGTGCCCAAGAGCACGCAAAGATGTTGAACGAGGTGCAGCTCGATTTCCGCACACTGGTCGGACGTGATTTGGAGCACTCGTCGGGTGTCACCAGCCCCGTTGGTCTCGGGCTATCGTAGTTGTCAACGATTGATCGTCCCGGGACCCTGCGACGTCTACAATAGGCATGCTAGAGACGGTGTTGATGGGCCTTGAGTAATGGCAATCGTAATGGTAATGGGCAATGAATGGAAGGGCTGAAGATTGCGGGTTGTGTTTAGTCCGCGGTCAAGCAAATGATACCGAGACATTGAGGACGAAATGACGGAAGTGCCGCAGCCACTGGCATGTGCACAGATATTTTGGGCCACTTGAGGCTTGTTTGCCCCTGGCCTGTTTACTTGCGACGACGTTTGTTACCTAAATAGGGAAATAAGTAGCCATAGGACAAGTGACCTATATCGGAATTCACTGATGGGGAAAACGGAGAGCAAGCAGTGTGACAAAGGCAACCAGAGAAATCAGAGTTTCGTGAAATCGATCGATGACATGATGCTCAGTGTGTCTACTGTCTTATTAAGATATTTAGATTGATATGCTTTACTTTGGCTGCCCAGGTATCCGTATTACCTAGGTACATACCTAACTATAGGATTTTACCTTCATGTCGAGGCTGATGCATCAAAGGAGTAGACGCAGACGTGACGAGGCTTACGTTAGTGCAGTGTATCGGATTAAGCGAGTCTAGGCCAGGAGGTGTCACCCAATGGGAGGCATTTGTCTCCTGCCTCATGGCTCGGGTGTGTTTCTTGCCTGGGGGCTCAGGAAAGTCCCATCCAGTGTGGTGGTGTATCTCTCAATCCCCCTCCTGCCCCAGTCTGCTGGTCTTGCTGCAACCAGCAAGCACCACACCACGCCCGCCGCACCTGCACCCAGCACTAGAGCACCACCTTCCACATCGCAAAAATCCCCAGTGCCCAACGTCGACGTCTTTCCCCGTTCTCATCACAGCATCCAGAGAACATAATCCCTTCCAACCCCACCCTGCGCGAACACGTCCAACGTTGTGTTTCTCTCCCTCGCCCAAAACACTCGATCGCGTCCTCCTTATCTGGCCTTAGACGAAGCTCTGACCGCCTGTGACGATTCGCCGCCAGCCCCACGCTACGATTGAGGTGCTGTGCCAATCTGAATACCGCGACCGGCTGCTGAAAACAACGTCATCCCCAACCTAACTCGACGACCCCGACGACGCTGCCTTTCTTGCTCCCCGCGACCCAGCCTTCGTGCGATCGAGTCATCTATCAACATCCCAAGCATTTCAATCGATTAGACGACTTTCAGCATGGATACGAACATGGAGGACGTCGGCCGTGTCCCCGCCGATCTGCCTTCCACCCAGAACCTCGAGCCCACCACGATCCCTACTTTAGATGGTTGGATCGAGAGCCTCATGAGCTGCAAGCAGCTTGTCGAGGCCGACGTCCAGAGACTCTGCGAGAAGGTAAGCCTTCCGTCCCCAGCGATGATGAAGGTCGTGATGCGCGTTTCCCACAGCGTCACAGCTGCGGTTCGCCATACGGCCTCCCCTCCCCTCATCTCGAATCACCCCTCTCGCGTGACCCCTAGGAACGCCTCGCTAACGTCCAGCAACAGGCGCGGGAAGTCTTGCAGGACGAATCCAATGTCCAGCCCGTCGTATGTATCCCCGTCGCAGGGCAAGCGATTCAAGCTGACCCCCCTCATTCAGAAATGCCCGGTGACAGTGTGCGGTGATATCCACGGCCAATTTCACGATCTTATGGAGTTGTTCAAGATTGGCGGTCCGAACCCCGATACCAACTACCTCTTCATGGGTATGTTGACCATATCATGTTCTCGCACTCTCTTGGATAGACGCTTACCTTACTAGGTGACTACGTCGACCGTGGTTACTACTCCGTCGAGACCGTGACTCTCCTCGTCGCCCTCAAGATCCGATACCCTCAGCGCATCACCATCCTGCGTGGCAACCACGAGTCCCGCCAGATTACCCAAGTCTACGGTTTCTACGACGAATGCCTCAGAAAATACGGCAATGCCAACGTCTGGAAGTACTTCACCGACCTCTTCGACTACCTCCCCCTTACCGCCCTCATCGACAACCAGATCTTCTGTTTGCACGGTGGTCTGTCTCCTAGTATCGACACCCTGGACAATATCAGAGCTCTCGACAGAATCCAGGAGGTGCCCCACGAGGGCCCCATGTGCGACCTCCTTTGGTCCGACCCGGATGACCGCTGCGGCTGGGGGATATCACCCCGTGGTGCCGGTTATACGTTCGGTCAGGACATCTCCGAGGCTTTCAACCACAACAACGGTCTGACACTTATTGCGCGTGCTCATCAACTGGTGATGGAGGGCTACAATTGGTCTCAGGACAGAAATGTCGTGACGATTTTCTCTGGTAAGCGGAGCTTCTTGATTTGATGGGCTGGAGATTCATGACTAACCGAGCCAGCACCCAACTATTGTTACAGATGCGGTAACCAGGCGGCGATCATGGAAATCGACGAACATCTCAAGTACACTTTGTAAGCACACACTTCTCATCAACGTGCCGTCGACAAGCATATACTAACCATGCGCAGCCTGCAATTCGATCCTTGCCCCAGAGCCGGCGAGCCGATGGTCTCGAGACGCACACCCGACTACTTCCTCTGATCAACCTATCCGATACCCTTACCGTCCATCATCCAGATCGATCTGGATGTCATCCACGGACGGAATTCGAAGAGATGGGGGCGTGCATGCTCAACTTGCATTGGTGTTTTAGGGGCGTCTAATCTTGTAAGATTACAACAAAAGCCAAGAGAACCAATGTACTCCCAAGAAAGAGAGATCCTGCGTTGAGCAATATGATATAAAGCGAGAGAGATACAGAATGGCCCCAGGACGCTCAATTCGGAGCGCGAGAGTTCCTTATCATTAAGGTTCCTGGTGTATCCTGGACGCTTTCCTCTGTCATCACGTTAGATACTCATCATAGACCGCCGGCAACAAAGAAGGTGTCGATGTTAATGACAAGCTGATGTTCCAATTTCCGTTTAACCCCCTGACCTGCCACGCATGGATACAACCAAGTTGCGGGCTAATGCTTCAAGGTGAGCTTCCAAGCTACTATTTTGTTCAAGCACACGATAAATGATCGCCTTGCGCCTGTAGGTCCGTATTTGGAACCTCCCAAATATGCATCGTCATCATCACACATTATCTCTCCTAGACCATATGTCGGACGTAGCGTACCCTACGATTCTTCCTCACCTCCTATGCCGCCGACGCCGACGTTCATGACTTCGCCTCCTCTCCTCGCTCGTCTTCCTCCTGGTCGGTCGACCCCTTCTCACCTTCTTCTCGACGACCACACGCTCCCGGAAGATCTCTCTCCTCCTTCCCCCGATACCTAGACCGCCTATACCCGTGTTGATCTCGTTGCTGATCTCCTCGGACCGACTGCTGCCCGACGAGCGCGTCCCGCTAAAGTAGCCGCTTCGGCTATCTCCGGACCCTGTAAAGTAGCTGCTCCGGGTGTAGTCGGTGGCGAGGTAGCCGCTCGGGGTGAAGTACTCTGTGCGAGACGAGGCTCGTCCTCGCACCGCCGTCGTGGTCCGTCTGGAGAAGGAGCTGATGACGCCATGGCGCCCTCCGTGGCGGCTGCTGCGGCCGCCTCGGAACCTCTCGCGGACGGTGAGGGTGCTGACGCGTTTGTAGGCGTGCTGGCCCTTTGCGTAGTGGCCCGGCTTGCAGGCGCCGTCGGGGACGTGGAAGCGGAGGTCGAAGCGGAAGAGGGCGTAGAGGAAGATGACAACGAGTTCGAGGTCATAGTTGAAGATGTAGTAGCAGGCTTTGTGATGCCACCAGCCGGGGAAGAGGACGGGGCGTACGGCGTAGTTTACGGCGCAGCGGTAGGCGGCGCCGATAGTCATGAGGGTCGCGGCGGTGAGGACCAGGATGATTTTAGTGGTGAGGGAGCCGTAGCCGAAGGGCTCGGGGCGGCGGAGACCGGGGTAGAAGGCGGCGAAGAGGAGGATGGGGATAGGGAGGAAGGCGATGAGGGCTAGTGTAGTGGAGGTGAAGAGCTGGACGACGCGGCAGTCGTAGAGGCTTACCGGATCGAGGGTATAGAAGCTGACGACGAGGGCGGTGATGGCGCAGACGAGGCAGACGAAGATGAGGAAGTAGGTGAAGAGGAAGAAGACGTTGACGGCGGGCAGCCAGCCAATGTTGGGATGGAGGCCACGGAGGAGGCGGTGGGTAAAGAGGAGGTTGAGAACGAAGAGGAGGACGACGCCGGCGGCGGCGAAGACGGCTGCCGCGATGTTGAGGGAGACGTTCCAGGGCTGGGTGGCCCAGGCGATGCGGAGGGAGAGGGCAATGATGCGGGTGATGCAGAAGCCGACGAGGACGCCCGAGGGAAGGAACTTGTGGCCCCGGGCATTGTTTCGGAGGAAGATTGCGCCGTTGAGGAGGGCGGCGGCGAAGAAGAAGATGATGAGGATGATGCAGATCGGGACGTCTACCCTCACGTCTGGGATGAGACCCAGGGCGGCCACTTGTGGGGGGTAAGGAGGTCCATACAGAGGCAGCTAGTAGGCGGAAAGGAGTTCACAATGTCAGCTGTGAGGTCCTCTTTTCTTTGCAATGCTGGACAGAAAGGGAGAGGGAATAGAGGGTAGACGAACCGGAGCCCCAATGGGTATGAGTGCCGCCATTCTGACAAAGTACCTGTCAGGACTAGTAACTATTCGCAGGCCTGAAGCTGCTGGCAAGCCAAGCAGCACCTGCAGAACAGCTATAACCAGGGAGGAGGAGGCTGAATGAGCTGGACAGTCGAGGATGCTTGGCAGCCAGTGCTCATGCTCATACTCGTGCTAGGGGAAGGAGGGGATCCAAACCAGACGTAAAAGCCACGCCGAATGTAAGTCAAAAGAGAGGAAGGAATCCTCTCTCCCCCTCCATTGCGTACGACTAGTTTCTTGGAAAAGACCGGGGTAAGAGCAATTCTTTATCATCGTGTTTGCCGTACGGAAACATATTCGTCTGAGCTTCGAGTGCATTCTTCCTTAGCGTCGGCGAAGGGTGCGTTGGTCTATGTGAGCTATTCGGCACGGACATGGGGGAAGAGAGAGTGACGGACGAGGCAAAGGTAAAGGCGGATGCGGGTTTCAGCCTGTGGCAAGAGCTGAGAAGAGCTGAGAGCGAGAAAGAGTCGGATTGGCTCTCGCTGATAAGTTTGTGCGGTCTTTTTTGGTGTTCTCGAAAAATGGGCGAGAGTGACGAGTGGTGGGAGTTCGTCTCATAGATAGAATGGCGTTGTGAGGAAACGAGATGACAGTATATTGCCTCTCATACCCCATACTCTCCTCCTCCTCAATTGTAGTGGTCGGCCTCTTCCTTAAATTCAGCCTCTATTACCCACCATGCTTGAAGTCGTAGGATCGACCCGAGAAGCGAATCGTGAGCCTAAGAAGTAGAGCCTTGCCCCTTGAGATCATCGCGTTCGCTTCACGCTTGCGGCGGCACGCGGCACGCAACATGTAAGATCTCTGTAGGCTCGGATGCTTGAGAACAGAGAAGGAGTTCGCACATGTAGGAAACTTGCGAGACAACTCAGCCCCAGTCAAACTAACGCAGAGCAAGGCTGTAGGTGTTTGGGCCCATATCATCGCCGTTAACTATAGATCGGGGAAAGAGGAAGAGGGCATGTCATTGCACAGTAGGGCTGCGGTGCAGAAACATGTTTCCCATCGGTCCCTTGCCGGTCTACCTGGGACAGTCAACGTCGGTGGTCCGCATCCCTCTTGGACGTGCGCGGCCGTTAGTCCCGCAGCGAGCGATGTCGATGGCTGGGGAGCCACGCTCACGGACCTTGAAAGTGAGGGACCGGTGCTGACCGGACTCCGACTTCGTGTGTACAATTGTCGGAAATAACGGCTCGTGAAAATCTCTTTATGAGCTATGTCGAATCCAGAGTTTCTTGACAGTAATTTGCTGGAAAACTGAACAAGAGCAAGTCTGGCGATGAATGCTCGTTTTGGTCTTCGCCCGTATGCATTTTTTGAACAATGTGGCTCACCTTGACCATATCGAAACACCGTTACTCATTGAAATAAATAGCATGGGCGAGCTTTTTTTTGTTCATGTGTATCATCAAGATGTGTCCCGTGATTCGTTTAGGCGTGTCCAATTCACAATGCGACGCTCTCGAAAAGGCTATCGATGTCAGAATGAATGTCCCTGTAGCCCCTTAGAAGGTTAGATGATGCTACTGAAGGACCATAGGCTTGACAGACAATGAAGCCCACATGTAGCTCAGTGGTATAACCTCGTCGAGTCAAACGGCCAGACAATCAAGCTTTTTCGTTCAAGACTCGTGATGCTGATCAGACCCGTCGATACACAATTCATCGTCAAAATCCAATGTAGTGTGTGGCCATGGACACTTGAGCTTAACACCGCTTGCGCAACAACTTTTTCCCAACAGGGTTGTGCTGAAGAGTTCTGTGACCTAGAAGAGAATTCGAAGCTGGCACAGGTGATGATTATCGTTTGAAAACCAACATGGCTGTCAGGCATGGTTGGGCTGCGTGAGAACATGTCCATGGGAATTTTTCGTATCGACATTGGACGGGATGGAGATGATTTCCAACGCCGTAGAATCTTCTTCGATATAACAAAAGACTTGGAGCAGACGTGCTGTCCAGAGAACGCAAAACTACGTCGAAAACCTCTCGAATGAATGTGTCGGTTGATATGACCGTCACCCATGGGGGTTTGACGCATATTGACGTTGCGACAACGCCGCTTTACTGTACTGCTGTGACCAAACAATCAGAAATGAGTGCCTTAATGCAATGTCATTAACAGACCCGAATGTCAGACATCAGATCGTCTAGGATCATCTACCGATTGAAGAACAATGTTCAAGCTTTCTTGGACTATAGACCAATTAGGCAACGTATTCTTCGAGGCATAGGAACAATTTCCCCCGAGTGATGAGTCCGGAGTAGTAGTATCCGGAGTTATGCGTCTATTCGATTAGCATGAACTTGCTATGATTGAGTCGTAGCTGTGTCAGCCGCAGTTTATCAACCGATGTGACACCACCGTTTCGCCGCATAAAAGGCAATAACGGCGAGACCGCAACAATCGAAGAATGATTGCCGCATGTCGTCTCTCGGACGCCGCTCCGCAAGTAGCTGCCGACGGCCGCCGTTCCTCAATTCGACAACGGAGCCGCTTCCTTTGAAATTTTCCTCCGACACGGCAATCAAGACACTCTGAGCTGTAAAGTGTACTAGGTACTTAAGAGATACCTAGTCACTCGAACGCCGTTATGTGCAGTAGCGTAGTGAGCAACGGTCTCAAGTCAGAAACGTTTCTTTGTTGATCTTTGTTGAACGTGTGGATAGGTTTTATAGTTCGATGGGGCAAATGCTTGCCACGTTTTTGAAGAAGGAAGCATGGTAGCTGGTAGCTTTCGACGACGAGCCAACACAAAGCCAATGGGAGGGCGTTGTAGCCTCAGACTCAGCGGCAACATGCACGCTCGGATCCTTCTACTTCCCACGACGTGCAAGATAAACCATATTGCGTGGCGTCGGTGTCTCAAGGTATGAAAGAGCGGTCCAAACTGTGGAAAGGCCTGGAGTTGTCGCGCCCGATTGAACCTGGACTGAGGCAGTATGCGCGGACACTCCGTATGTGACTGCCAAGTACGGAAATGTCGATGCAAGGGATCATCCTCACCCACAGCACCGCGGGCACTCAATAGGGAAGATGAGACTGTCGTCACAACTGAGGACAGACGGCAAGGAACTTCTTACGCACAACCCAGCTGTGCCTCATAGCCGCGAGCCGTATGTATATAGACTTTCAGCGTGCTTACCCGAAGTCGGGATTTGATCTCGGATCCGAACTGTTCCATGGTCTGCTGACGTGTATTGTAACAAGCGATTGGCAGTGAAAATGGGACGAGCGGGTAAAGATCCTCAAGCTTGACGATTTGCGATGTTTCTCACTCATCCCACGCGAATTCTATTTTTGTTTGTTGATCATTGCACGTGCTTTGATTTAGGGTTGAGTGAGTTCTCCGTGACAGCGGGAGCGGCTGGCCGCGTGATGAACAAACGGCCGAAATCTTGGTTTACGGATACCGAATTCCGCAGATGGTCCGGCCGGAAGCACAATAATGATCGGCATTATTATCGGACTCGAGTGTTGGACAATTCGCACTCGAAGCTTCGAACGCTCAAGTCGAGAACTCGGCGCTGCTGACTGGCGACCTAATTGAGATATGATGGAGTTGGAATGGAGGCGAGCTGTCATTGGGTAGATCGTCCAAACGGCGCGTTCATCCTTGGGAACAATCCGACGAAGTGGCTAGGCCTTGTCCGTGCCACGCAAGATAAAGGCAGCGCTGGGACCATCTTTCATTTCACAAACGCTGGTATCGCCAGTAGCCGACGCGGTTTCTGGGTCAGGGAGCGATGGAGTTGCGCTGCTCTTCCCCCACTGTATTCGCAACCCCTGCTGTAATCCTGGAGCATTGTGAGCCTCACCAATCAGAGCACAGTATCGCTGGGTTGAGACATGCGCGAAGTCGTGGTAATTTCGCCTAGTACTCCGCTTTGTCAACCGCCTTGGTTGCCCCTCGAGTCTATTCGGCAGTTTGTGGATGTTTCTTCGCTGAATGGATACCATGTTTATGCTCAGTTGGCTTATGGAGCTCTGTTCTTGGGCTGACGATGATGGAAGCCCGCAGTTTGACACTCGCGTCATTATCTTGTTGGAACTTGAATGGCAATGCCAATGTCATGGTCATAACTGCAGTCTGTGAGCAGCAACCAGTGTGTTGCGCCGCGCCACAGCCGCGCTGCTGCAGTGTGACTCTGCGGACACATGTACCTGCACAAGCCTGGTGGTGAGAAAGCCACCACACCGACGCTCAGTCGGCGTGCAAACATAATGAGTCTCGTTGTGCAGATTGTCGCCCGTTTCCTAATTGATCGTTCTCTGGTGGATGCAGTTGTCCACCTTGCCGATTTCGGCCGTCCTGCCCCGGCCAGTTTGTGAGCTGTCGCCCACAACCGTCTTATGAATCGTGTTCGGACGGGGAGGGTGCCGGCCGTACCCCAAGAAATGCATCAAGATCATAACGGATGGACGAGGGGAAACGGCTTGGACGGCGTGTAGGTATTCGTATCCGTACTGACTGTGAGCCTGCGAGGTGTCTTGAAGAAGCTGAGGAACTGAGTGTGTAGGACAAAGTGAGTTGAAACACGAGTCGATAGCCGTGAGACAGTCTGCCAACAAGCGTGTATCGGCACATGGTTTCTCGAGACATGGCTCTCCCTTGCCAACACTGTCATGAGCGTTAGTAGTTGATGGGTTTCTTCAGTCTTGTTGTTGACATGCTGAGCGATCTGGCTAGACCTGCCATCAGAGCCATTATCGAAGATGGGATCGCAGCGAATGGCACGAACGGGCCAACCATCGCGATAATAAAGCTTCGACAAGGAAGACCATGTGGTGTGAAGATTGATCAACGACGAGGAGGACGTGTTGCCGACGGCTGGTTTCCCGCCATTGCCGCACTGGCCTGACAAAGCCGGGGAAAGGGGGATGGTCCCTTCATGGTGGAAGCCATTGCATTCATGTTCCCAGTCTTCCTCGTCAGCTTCAGGTGGTGTTTGTTTTCATTGCCCCCATT